TATTCTCGGTATTTAGGCCTAGCTCCCGTTTTCTCCAACATTGAACCCGTGATAAATCTGTCTCTAGATTTATTTACGATTTTCTCTTGAATCCATTCATAGCAACATTCCGACGTTCAGCATTCATCGTTTAATGCTTTATACAGTTATTTCCTTTTGTTAATCTTATAGTTCTTCATACTATTCAATGAAGTGTATTCTAATAAATACAAGAAATAATTATGTCTTCTATTTCAAATAATTGATTAGTCGAAATAAGAAACATACATTCCATCTATCGATAGTCATTTTTTAAATCTACCACCGTTTCATAATGAGGTTCCTCTAACGGAGAAGAAACAGGCGAAAGAAACTCTGTAGGTGTAGGTACTCTTTTTTGTAATTTTTTTTCCTCAAAATAGTATAATATTATACAGTATATCATTTTTTTAAAACAGATTGGGAGCAACCAACTCATTCCCAGGGGTTATTATCATTAATGTATTTATTTATATTATGATATCCCTTTTTTAAAAGTTTTTTTTTTAATAAGTTACTTATCAGTATCATGTAGAGCTTAATTATTTTTTTTTTCATTTCACCAAAATACCTTATTCGTTAAAAGGGTAAAATACTTTATTCGTTAAAAGGGGATATTCGTAAAAAAGAAATTCTTATTAATTGTCGTACTTTATTTACTAAACATTATTTTTCAATCGTGACAATCTCCAGGACTAAAAAGTTTTTTTAGTCTATAAATGATAAACTCTGTTTTGGAGCTAACTCTGAAAGCACCATTCTATTTTATATTCACACCATGGTGGTCTAGATATATGGTAGTTTCTGGCGTGAAAATAGTCGAATCACAGAAACAAAAAGAATTGCCGCTGAACGGAATTTCATTAATACAAATCACTACTGCATTTTTGGCGTTGCGTGTCATGTCAAGTTTTCCAGCAGTGAGTTCAAACCGTTCTGAATTCGGCGAAACTTGCAGCATGTCCGTCACATTAATAGGGTTCAATATAGGATTACTTATACCATACTTGTATGTTAACGCTCTACATACGTTAACTTAAAAGGCCGTTTATACGCTTCTGAATTCTTGGTATCTTTATCTGTTTCAGGAACGCAGTCGTTAGCGTTAAAAAAACTGTTAACATTTAATTTTATCGTCACACTATTATAGCACGTGTGACCTTAAGTGATTTCAATTGTGTGATATTTTTGGCAGTAATGAAGAATATTTTTATAAAATAAATACATTATGAAAAGACCACAAATAAAACACAAATTTAATAACACACTCGGCATGAGATATGGATTAAAAAATACTTTAAGTTGCTGTATGTGGACAGCAACTAAAAGTATTTACAGAGTTGTAAAGAGATATTCGTAAAGGCCCATTGGTAACAACGTAGCTGATAAATCAGAAAGGTGCAGAGCAGCCAGCCACTTGTTTTCCAACGACACACATTTGTAGAGTGCGCACTCGCTCTGGTCTGCACGGAGTTTCAAGCACTAGCCAATTTATAATAAAAAAGATTGTAACAAAAGCAAGTGAAGTCTATGAGGAAAAAATTCAAAAGATTCCCCGAAACACTAATTTGTGCACTTTAAGTCCGGCAGCTTAAGCCGTGCGTGAAATGAGCAATTTTAAAAGAGATCTCTGGCGAATTCTAAAATGCCGTTTAAATGACGATCACGATGTCGAAGCTCTTTCCTCGAAGGACCGAACGGCCTGCGATCGGGCTCCACTCCTCGAAATCACGGCCGGGTAACGCGGATGACGTGAAAATAATATAAGAAAAATCAAAAGCGGCCAGCTATTCGAATGTTTGAAGCCAATCATTTTTTCCACGGTACTTTAGTTGTTCAGGCAGGGTCCATTTTACGTAGTGTTCTAACTTTATTTATTGTGCCGTTTGAGTGGTGGTGAAAACATAAAACTTGGTGGTGAGTAAATACATGTGATCTTTTCCCGTGAAATTGGGTACACGACATAAAATGGTTACTTTTAAATGTGGAAAAGGAGGTCTAAGGAAGGATAACAAAAAGGATATGTTGTGAAGAGACGTTCAATTTTCATATAATTATTTACACAGTATCCATTAGTAAATTCTCAGCCTTTGATGGCGAACATCGCGATCTTGTGACGGCGATACTCCTATAGCTGATATACTAGAGCTGATGTGGTACGATCATATCCCTTGCTGCGATGTATATACGATTTGAGTGTTTCGGAGATCAAATAATTGAATGTCAGGGCATTACCAACATTTCAGTCTTTAAGGGTCACGATTCTTATCATACGTGAAGGTGCTAGAACTGAACAGCTTGCTTAATATACTTTAAGTTAATACTAATTACTGTTGCACAAAATGTGATGTGATAGATCTCATGCATGAAATTACTGTGATCTCATCAATGTAAAACTGAATTATTTGTGCTTTTGCATTTTGGCGTGTGACTTTTAAAGGCTGAAAAATAATGTTTATATTACCAGAAACCAGTATCTGAATATTCGAATACCACAAATCATGAATTGAAATTTTGAGAGACACCATATATGGATATTTAATTAGTAAATTTCTTGAATGGAATATTCGCTTCAACAACGTAATCATCAAATACTTGTGCTGAAGTTGATAAAATGCTGTACCCTGCATACAATTGATAGCATGCGTAGGCATCCTGTAGAGCCTACAATCCATCGTTTAATGCATACATATGAGGCAACCGGTTCGGTGGTCGATGAAGCGATCCAGGTGCATTCCGCGTCATGTTCCAGAACATGGTCTTACTGCGACATCGAATTCATGGATTATAAAGCCCAACGGATATACAATATTGGATTTAGAGCATACGGCATATGGCGTTTCTGTTTTTGGTAAAAAATCATCCTCAGTATTAAGTCTCAATTAGAGGTTGAGTGGTTCCGTAAAGAAACAACATTTCTAGGCTTGAGGCGACGATAATCAGCATGAGATTCATTAGGTGACTCTACACCCCGAAACAGTTGCTGTTTGGTGTGATTTGGTCTGACGGTGTGATCGAGCCTTATATCTTTGAAAATATACTAGGATAATAGATATGGCCTAAGGTAAATGATAATGTAACTCACAAACATTTGGTTCCAACAGAAGATCAACTACCAAGAAGATGGCACGGGAAATATTCTACGCATGAGAAGTGCTAGGACTTTGTCATTTCATGTGGTGGACATGTCAATTGGCTATCGATATCAAGTGTCATAACATCACTCTATTTTCTTTGAAGATGCATGAAATTTTCGGTCTCTGCAAGCAACCCACTTTCTACAATGAACAAGAGAAAAACAATTTCTGCCTGATGGCCAACATATATCTTATGAAATTGAATCATATTCATGCAAATATGTAGTCCAAAATAGATGCACCAGACTACCACCTACCATTCTACCATTTCGCCAAAATTAGATTCCATATACATATAATAATACATTTTTTTATGTGAGAAAGTGGCAAACGAGCTGACGGTTCACCTGATGTTAAGTGATAACAGCCTGCCCATGGACATTTGCAACACTCGTAGGGTTGCAGATGCATTGCCACCTTTTAATTATGTGGGTCCCGGTTGCCTTACTCACCAGACGAAACGCAACAGTGCAACACTTCTACTTTACGCCGGTCTTCTGTGAGGTCGTGTACTAACCCAGACGGACCTGCCCATTCGTGTCTCAGCGACCACTTGCGTGGCCCTACCACCGTAGGCCCTACACCCTACCACATATATAATAATAGCAATATACCTATTCATAACAGGTTGTTTCATTTCTAGTTCAAGCGTTCTGTCTAGTAGTAGTCTAGTCGTAGTCAAGCGGTCTGTGGTTGAAACTAGATGTTTTGTTAATAAGAGGCGAACAGTTTTGCTTGTGAAGAAAGAGAAAGAAAATCAAATTTAACAAAATTATATATTCATATTTATCCTCCGGCACCTAACAAAATTTTATGTAAACACGTATTCAACTTTCCAATTTACATAAGTAGGCTTTATTTCTTATTCTAATTTAAACCGTGAACATTCCTGTCAGCCATTGTTCACCAAATTGATTTTATGCTTACACCTGAAACTGTTGTCTGTCTCCGTATACGGGGTTAAAGGCTCTCTATCTGGGTAAGGCTAAAGAGGTTATTTATATGCAATATATTTGTTTGTCCACATGCGTCATCCACTAACTAAAGCGTATCATGACATCACCTTAGTCGCATCACCCTGATAATTTCCAACAACTGCTCCACGTATGACCGCAAATGCACAATCACGTTCAAATAAAATTTATTGACCTTACCTACGTTCAGTGTTTTGTCTTTTGCACAGTTATTTGTTTTTTCGAATCGCAATAACGGTTTCTAAGGTATGCCAATCGTATAGCAATTGTCGTTAACAACGTCACCATCTAAAATCGTATGGGGATTGGTTTAGGATCAGGGCGATTCTGTAAGTGATAATGATTTAATGTCAAACTGCATGAAAACAATGTCGATACGAAATGAATCTACTTTCAGGTGGTGGTGGCATGCGTCCAATCTGATATCCAAATCACACTGCCAAGGTAAGAAAACATTACATTCTAATATTTAACTATTCCGTTGCTTTATTCACATCGTATTGTTTTGCTTTATTCACACATCCGTCTGCCAATCCTCTGGTAAACGACAGTCGGATCGCTTGGCCCTAATATCCTCTGTATGGAGGAGTTTGCCCAGCAGTTTTGTAACAAAAAAGAGCAATGTTCTTGAAACTTTTTTAAATTCCTGCAGCGTTGATTTATTCCAGTACCGGTCTTTAGGTCGAGTTCCCACTGTATTGATAGGAAATGGGTTTGCAATATTTCATCACAAACTGATGTCGTACGCCGTGAATACAAATGAGCCCGAGTAGACTTATCATTAAATGTACAGTCACCAAAATATTGGGGAAAACATATGTGTGTGTATTGTGAAACAGTTTACGTCCCGAAGAGACAAAAAGTACTACTATTTCCACTTCGCACTGGCTTTCTGTGAGGCCGTGGTACTTGCTCTGTCGAGCCTACTCCCCACAAACTGCTGCTTGCCCTTCGCTAAGTACCTAATTGGCAGGAATGTGCAGTTTCTTCCAGGGGCTTCCCTGAACGAGCCCGCACATTCCAGCAACAGCAGAACCTGCGGACAGGCTGTATCGCATAAAAGCAAATAACGAAAACAAGAAGCGCATACTAAACTGCGTGATTATCGATGGTATTTTTAAATAATATTAAGGTTCATAGTGCTATTCGCTGCACACTAGAATTATTTTTAAAAGGCCTACCCTGGAGTATCTATTTTCAAATTCTTGCTGCGGCGAAACACGTGACTTTTCGTCCATTTTTCTACAATTTTTCCGAATATCGATTGTATGTTTGATATAAGTTAATTCTTAGCTTTTTATTTTTTAAATGAGAAAATTTATCTATATTATAAAGAGGAAAGATTTGATTGTTTGTATGTATTGAATAGGCTCCGAAACTACAGAAGCGATTTGAAAAATTCTTTCATTGTTGGGAAGCTACATTATCCCTGCTTGATATAGGCTATATTATATTTTCAAAAAAATTAGGGATCCTTACTAAAACTCCAATAATGTTACTCAAGGTGTACAAAAATTAGGTACCAAAAATATTTTTACATCGCGTGCGCTGCACTATTGATGATAGAATAAAATAATGTACTACGACTTTGCAGAACACATCATTATTTACAAAAAGTGTCGCGATAGCGTATGTCTAACTATTATAGTTACGCCACAATGGGTATTCTTTAATTCTAAAATTTTGATTGAAATGCCGCCGCTAGAAAAGGCTGTTTATTTGTATCTTGGTATTAATCCTTATAAAAATAAATTACTTCATATTTAAGACTGTTTCAATATCTTTATATAACTTTTTGAATTATTAAATTCGGACATTCCATTCCTTAGATATTGCAAGTTTAAAAATGTTAGTATATTGTAATTTAACTTTCCAAACAGCTTAGTGACTGACTTAGTAGTTCTTATAAGTTTTCAATCCCATTTATACTGGTAATTCCTGTTTAACAGTTTGCAAATGATTAAATACTAAGGAAGTTTAATTTTTAAAATGCACAAAAGATCAAGATCTCATCTTTCTAGAAATAGTTCCCAGGCGAGGACATTAAAAATACGTCATAAGGAGGAATCTTTAACGGAAACTGAAAATCGTCATACAAGTCAGAGAAAGTCAAGTAGAGTGTTTGCAGTGGCTTGAAGAGTATAATAATGTAAATATACAAATTCACACTAGGAAATCGAGGTCTGAGCGTTCCCAACGTACACGAGATTAGAGAAAAAGATAACAAACGTCAACGACTAGAGTTCGTAATCGGGTTTAAGCTCACAGTAACAGATCAGCTTTCATGCATTTTGCTCAAAGTCTTCCGTCCAAATCGTAGCCACGAATAAGATCTGCTCTAAGTGTTCTGCCAAAAATGGGTCGATTAAAGGTAGTCTCCCCAATATTGAGGAGCCGCCACAACCAATAAAAAATCTTTTTACAAATAATCATTCACCATCAGGACATTTTAACCAACATCCGAAAGTACAATAGCCTCTTTCAAATGTCTTCGTTTGACGCGAACTTTTAAAATAGAGGGACAAGTATACAAGTTATCATTATCCTCCTACCCCTATCCCATCTAGGTGGGATCGGCACAACATGAATCATGTTGCAAGCGGTTTTGGCTATATCTTTACAACCCGCCGCCTGCTTGACATCAACTCTCCTTGGGAAACAAATACACAGATCAAATTTCAACTGTGTAACTATCATGGTTCATGAGATACAGCCTGTTGACAAAGGGACAGACAGACAGCGGAGTCTTAGTAATAGGGTCCCGTTTTACCCTTTGGGTACGGCATCCTAAAAAGGCCCCAGAGATATAGTGTTGCACAGTAGATACGGCCAACTTAAAAAGGGTCTCCGAGTTACACCGATTGTACGATCCATTAAAATATCCCTTAATAGTCGTAATAGGAGAAGACGGTTAATATTTGACTATTCCTCAGCAAGGTACTGTGCGTAACAAAACTGTGACATGCATGCAATTGTATGCATTTAGGTTGATGGTTAGAGCTACCAGTTTTAATCCATTGCATTATTACTGGGACATAGTAGGGTTCCGTACCCAAAGGGTAAAACGGCACCCTATTACTAAGACTCCGCTGTCCGTCTGTATGTCTGTCCATATGTCACCAGGCTGTATCTTATGAATCGTGATATTTAGATAGTTAAAATTTTCACAAACGATGAATTTCTGTTGCCGCTATAACAAAAAATACCAAAAAACAAAAAAATATAAATAAGTGGGGCTCCCATAAAACAAACATGATTTTTTTGCCGTTTTTATAGATAATGTTGACAGTAGTAGTGTTTTTGACAATATATAAGTGTAATACTTCTATATTGAATAAATATATTAAAACATGATTTTTTAATGTGATAGAGTGGCAAACGAGCTGGTGGTTCACCTGATGTTAAGTAATAGCCGCCGCCCATAGACAATTGCAACACCTGTAGGGTTGCAAATGAGTTGCCATCTTTAAATAAAGTGGGCCCCGGCTACCTCTCTCACCAGACGAAACGTAGAAGTTATAACACTTCTATTTTACGCCGGTCTTCTGTGAGGTCGGTACGGAACCCTTCGTGTGCGAGTCCGACTCGCTGGTTTTTATTCAATACATTGTCGATATGATGGCAAAAAGATATCAGAAAGATTGAATTACATATTATTTCGTAATCACCATTGACTGAGGGCTGGTGAAACTTTCATCTTAGAGAAGCTTTAAATCAAGACATTGGCTCATAAAACATCGGATCATCAGACATCGGTCAACAAAATAACCAAAGATGCGATGATTTATGTCCGAAGCTATGGGAGACCAGACTTATTTGTCACTTTTACGTGACGCAATTTCAAGGGTATTTCTTTAAAAGATGAAGAAATTCATAAAATTATTCCCCAAAGACGAAATCTTCGAAAGGTTTTATGTGTGTGTATGATAATTTTTACTTTTAAATATTTTGTTAAATACCCGTGCGAACCCGGGGCGGGCCGCTAGTTCTATATAAGTTAAGGATTACATTGATATCGAATCATAAATTGGCCCAGAGACTTAGAATTAGGATGGGAAAAAAAATATGATTTTGATTCGCGGCAAATACATTGTATCACGTATTATATTGCTGTTGTCATAAAAATTTAAGAATATACCTTAGCAAAGAAAAAAAAAAATTAGCAAAGCTACTTGCCGCATAATATACATACGCACCGCTTAATTTCAGTCTTTTTTTGTCAAGTATAGGTAATGGAGCCTCTATTGGTCTAAATGGATAAATTGAATATATTTTATACCTCTCGTATCCTAAATATGACGGAGAGAGATCATAACATTCTGCATTTCACAAATTGTTGTAGCCCAAATATAATAGGTTAGACCTGCTCTACTATTTCATTGAAATGGAGTGTACGTATATTAAAACACGTAAGGTTAATGTTTTATATATTGGAACGTAATAAGTAAGATCTGTGCGAAAATATAAACCATAAGTAACTTAGACAATAACAGCCTATATACGTCCCACTGATAGAGCTCCTCTGGCTGTACAGAGAAGGGTATTAAGGCTAGGGCATATTTGACCACGCGGCCACTGCAGATTGGTAGAGATTGGTAGATTCTTTTTATTATCTTTGAAATACTTTATTTGATCATTTATTATAGAGTGATAGCTCAGAGCACTCGTGCTCGCTATTAATTTAATACGAGCAACCCGAGTTCGAAATTCATATACTTACAGCAAAATCGCTAACTATTACTAGTAGTTGGTTCAAGATCCACCCGCGTTCCAGGGCGGTTCTCACCGCCCCAGCCACCGATTAGCTAAAAACACAGTCGACGGCCATCGGGGTGACATGCCGTAGTTAAACGCACGCATGAGCACATGCACGGCCCTACCCCCAGCGCAGGGCCTAAACCCGTGGGTTCTGGCTAGCCCACCGGTTCTGCGTCAGGTGAAGCTTTAATAGTCTCGGGACTGAAAGGACAAACATCAGATAATACAAGATGGTTCAAGATCCCGCAGAAATTAACTTATCCGCTGTCAAATGGCTTTTGAAATGTCGTTTGAGTTGCCAAAAGGATGTTTAAACTCTTTGAATTGATCATTCTGATCAACTTTTACGTATTTAACCATCCTTTTGGTAACTCAAATGACATTTGAGAAGTCATTTGACAGCTGATTAGTTAATTTCTACGAGGATCAATGTTTCAGAAACCGGGCTTGAGACTACATCACTATTTATCACGATGAAAAGTGGTAGCCAAAATACAGCCTAAAAGAGACAATTTTATCCTCTATTAAGTTTAAGGTACGCCTTAATTAAAACATAGTTCAACAATTATTATTTAGTGACAATATTAACTTCGAAGAAATAAATTGATACTGACTATTTAATCTGAATCGTTCGTTTAGCGCTACTTTATTGATTCCGTCGTGCCCCACTCCATCTTTTGTTAACGAACCCGCTAAATGTTTTTAAAATATTTCCAATGATGTTCTGTTCATAAGGTTTAATTAGTGATAATTTAGTTACTGACTTTGCCAGTGTACAGCATATAAGTTTAAATAAACATTGGAAAGCTTTAAGAGCACTTGGTTTTTCAGTATGAACCGACTCGTACAATAACAAATTGTATACTAAAATTAGTTTTAAAACTGGCTATGCCATAAAAAAGTGTTAATAAACTGAATAAGCCACGCATCAGCCTCGGCTGTTGCACGAATGGGCAGGCTCGTCCGGGTAAGTACCACAACCTCACAGAAGATCGGCGTCAAGTGGAAGAATACTTTCGTGTTTCCTCTGGTGAGTGAGGTAGCCGGAGCCCAATTTCCAAAAAGGTTGTCAACGGATCTGCAAACCCTCGGGTATAGCAGATGTCCATGGGCGGCGGTGTTCACTTAACACCAGGTGAACCGTCTGCTCGATTGGCAACTTTTCAAGTAAAACAAAAATAATATAATTTTACCGCCAACGCATTGTCGTGTACTTACAATTATAAAGCGATAGATATCAGTGATTTCGTAAGCATTTTAAACGTTCGTATTAAAAACATGACCTCGCGTCGAGTCTTTAAAGTCGGTATGTACCGCTAAGCAGAATAATTTCAGCAGTTACCATGGATATCGAACGATACCGGGCCTCGGCTCACACAGATGTGCTCACTCACATTAGTCTGGGTGGCAACAAGCGATTTCAGTCCAAAGCTTTGAAGCAATAAACGTGAAAACTCTGTGCACTGCGGGGCGTGGCGCG